GGATTATTTTGCCTCCCACCGAGGGGGAAGGTCCTGCATCGCTCACCTCGCAGCAGCACCCCGCGATGCTTCGGTCACAACAAACCATCTCCGGTTGCTAAAATCTCCCCACTCCCTGGTTTTTTTTTTGTTTTGTTTTGTTTTTTTTTTTCTTCTTTTCTTTTTTTAAAGCATTTTGTCATTTGGCACCGACTCCCAATTGCTTTTGCTCCCCCCCCACCTGCAGGTTTTCAACTCCGGGGGCGAGCTCCTCTAAAAGCTGAGAGAAAACGTTGGTCAACTGCTTTAAGAGCCTTTATCAACACTTTTTTTTTTTTTTTTTTGCTCTGTTTTCACCAATTTTTTTTTTCAGAGTCTTTTGGTGGATCCGAACGAGCTGCCCAAGACCCAGCCGTGGCGGTGCCTTGGGTGGCAGCCGGGACCGTGACACATGGCGAGAGGTGGGATATTTTTTTCCTGCCTTCTTCGCTTGATAAAGAGGTTTAAAACCCTCCTTGGACGGAGCCAACCGGGGGGGTTCCCCCTTTTCTGGAGACCTTACACCCCTGGACCCCTCCAAATTGGGGGCACAGGGGTGAAGGCGGGAGGAGGCAGCCGGTCCCCGGCACATCCCCGGCTCCTGGGGGCTCGGAGCGATGGATGACGAGCAAAATCCCATACATGATGGAGACAGAAAAACATGGATTTGGGATAAATTTGGCCTCCAAGGCTGCCTTTGCTGGTGGTGTTCCTCTTAAGATCCCTGACCGGCACCCAAATTCAAGAGAAGAGGAATGTCGCGAGCATTGGCCACGGGGAAACTTTGGGCAAACTCAATCGAAAGGGAATAAATCCCCCCCAAAACTCATCCCATGGGGACCAGGTCCGGCAGGAACCGGCAGCACCGCCCACCCAGCCCCTGCCAGATCTGGTCGTCGCCGTGACCCCGAGCGAAAGCTGCTCGCCGCTGACGCTCGCCCCGGGTCGGGCGGCTGCACCCTGGCTTTTGCTGGGGATTGTCATCGCAGAGCCCCCCTGGGGCTTCTCTAGGGTCTACTATGGGGTTGAGCTCACGCCGCAGCAGCCCCTTCCCTACCAGCACCCGAATACACTGCGTGATTTCAAGGCTTTCCCAGAGCATTTGGTATTTCTGTGCATCTCCATCGTTTCCGGAGGGAAGGGGGCTGAAAGCCTACGACCGACGCGGTGAATCCTACGGCCGTGGGCAGCGTTGCCTCAGCATCCCCTCGGGATGGGGGTGAGCCATGGGGGTTTGTGGGGGAGCCAACGGGGCCACGCGCTGGCGGGATGGGGAGGGAAAGCAGCAGGGAAACCATCAATATGACATTTCAGTGGAAGAAATACGGAGCCGTTAATGAGCTCGTTGCCATTAACAACCTGGGCAATTAGGAGCCACCGGGAGGGCCAGGGAGACACAGGGCTCTCATCACCACCAAGCCTGTGTCACTGTGCCAGCCACCTTCATCTCCAGCTGAGGAGGAGGAAGGGACCTGTCCAAGCCCAGGCAAAATGGGGGAAAAAAACCCCACTTTCCATCTTCTAATCCTTGAATCTGCTCAAGGTCTTGCGTCAGTGCAGTATTTTTGTAAAAAATCTGGTTTTGCTAAGCCAGAAATTGGACTTTTTGGGAATGCCCCGAGGGAAGGTGGATGGTTTGGTCTGATCTCGGCGACACACCAAAGCACCAAATTCGGGTGAGGTTGTCCTGCCGTGACTTACAAAACCCTCGCGGCACCGGGGGGACGTCACACACCCACCCACGCTCCACGCCGCTGCGACCACCAGCGGACACGGCCACCGCCGGCACCAGGCGGCGCTCCGGCCTCACTGGCAAGCACAGAACGTTTCTCCAAGAGTCCTCACCATCTCCCCCTGCTTTCCATCATCCCGTCCTCGCCTTCCCCACGGCCCGGAGGAGCCGGGCGAGGGGCCGGCCACGGGCTAGCAGCAAACCCGGAGCAGCCACCTTCAGTCTTCGGACATGACTCTCCAACACGATAGTCTTTAAGCATAGAGTGTATAAACATGCTGAGTATATAATTTTCCTTTAAAATTTTTTTTTCCTTCTTTATAGAAATAAATACTTACTTTGTTTTTTTTAAGGGAATTTCGCAAGTCTCTGCGTTGTTTCGAATGGTGACATATCCTCTGGGACCACGCTCGTGGGATGGTGGCTGGGTGGTCCCCAGGGGGTTGTAGCTTTGCTGGGTGGGTTTTTTTTGCTGGTTGGGGCATCCCTTGCTCCTCTTGCCCCTGGATTACATGTGTCCCAGCCTCCCGGGGTGGAGGTAAACCCACAGCGGGCATGGCGGGGAGCTTGTCCCCGGTGCCGGGGAGCTCGTCCAATGCTGCCCATGGGGGCACGGTGGGACGCGGTAGTTTCTCGCAGGCATTTTTTTTTGGGCTCCCACATTTTGTGCATACGGGGAACAGCCTTCTCCTGGAAAGCTGCAGTCAGCGGGGGAACGGAGGTGCTTCAAATGGGGAGGTTATGGCCAAAAAACCCTACCCTGCTTCAGAGGAGACAGTGTAGACAGGATGAGGGGTGGATGAAATGGTCTCCTGAGGTGCCTTCTGGGGTTGGAGACCCAGGAGCTGCCTCCAGCCCACCACCAGCTTCAGCAATTTGGAACAGATTTTATTTTCTTTCGGGGTCCCTATGGGCTGTCGGCATGCTGGGAGCCCCCGGCTGAGGTCTGCAGCTCTCGTAATGTGGATGAGGAAGGTGGTACCAGGATGGGTCTGCAGCCTTCTCCCTCCTGGGGGATTCTCCATGGCAGCCCATCACCCTGGGAGGGCTGGAGGAAGGGGAGATGCCCCGGGAAGAGCTGTCTCTTTACAGCCGTGCTGGCCAACAGGCGCCGAAACCTCCAACGATGGTCCAGAGAAGAGGACAAACCCCCATAATCTGCTTTTCCCAGTCGGCTCCTCTCAGCTCAGCATGTCAGGTCCAAGCACACCTGGCTGGGGCTTGGGGTGGCAGGGGGCTGTGGTTAAGGCTGGTATGTCCCTGCTGCTGGCAGTGCTATGATGGGTGTTCCCCATGGCACCTTCTCCCTAGGGTGGAGGATGGAAATGTCTGACCCTGCCCGATGCCTTTCAAAAGCCTTTTCCTTTGGAAAAAGAAGGGTATTTTGGGGAGGATGATGTCCTTGCAGGCAGAAGATAGCCAGAAGAAAAAAGCAGAATTTAAAAACCAGCCGTGGCCATAGATAAGGAATCTACCAGGGCAGCTGGGTTGGTGCTTTCACCAGGAGCTTTGGATTTCAGGACAATTTGACCAGGGTTTCTCCTTCAGGCTGCTCAGGAAGGCGATGAGATGGCGAAGGTGGGTGTCCCATACCAGTCCCTCTCTCCGCATGGGACAACTCGCTCTGGAGGAGGCCTGAGCGGGTGGTGGATGTTGGCAGGGACAGAAGCATGACCCGTGTTTCCTGGTGGACGAGGATTTTGGAGATGGTTTATTGCCTTGGCAGGAAGGTTTGGGTGCAGAGGAGGTGAGGCTGGAAACCTCTGGAAGAGCGACCATCTCTCCTGGTGTCCTCTGGCTCCTACAGCCCCCGAGAGGCAGCTCTGCCATCTGGGCTTGTGCTGTCGTGGCTGCTGGTTTCTGGGCAGTATTTACCCAGGTTTGGGTGCCCCTCTGTTAAACAAATGAAATGAAAACGAGAAGAAA